ATATATATAATTTTTTTTTTAAATTGTGGCTGATATATTTTTGACGTTTATATATTATATATAAGGATTATGTATAATGGTATAACTTATATAACCAGTACTTGATGATGCAGTAGGACCAATAACAACAACAGCAACAACAAACAACTACAAGAACAACAACAATATTAACAACAACAATAACAAGGTCGTAATACTAATAGGAGTGTTCATTTGATAAAAGTTAGTCATAGTGTTTCCTCAGAAAATTCCTTACTTAATTGGCTAAAAAAATTTGGGGTTTTACCATACATTATTACTCCAGCAATGTGTGAGACAAGATCGAGGGCGGTAGACTAGATTTTTTCTTCAATCAGCTAATGACTTTACTCGGTTTTTTTTACATTAAAATATTTTATTTTCCGTAATTATTGAAAGGTTTTCTGCCATTGTATAATCAATTATCCCTATGTTGTCAGCATCTAAACATTTTTTTAGGAAGTTAATATTGTATGTAATAATAATATAACAGTTTCGTGTCCTTTATTATTTATTGGAGATAGTTGGCCGTTCATATCAACGTAAACAAAAGAAACAATCGTGCTTAATAAATTAATTCACAGTTAATACTCATAATCTGTTAAAATTTCAACAATTTGTAAAATTGTTTGAAATTATTACCAACCTGTGGTCCGCAGAAAATATCTGGGGGTCCGCCATGTCAAATGGGTCTGCTGAAAAGTACGCACACAATTGAGGACGAGCGAAAATGTTTGGGATCTGCTAGGTTTTTAGAATAATTTTTCTTGATTTTTTTGTCTTGTATTACAGCAGTGTGATAAACATACTGCTAATAAATAGGTGCATTATCAGTAATTAAATGCCTTTGGCATGATAGGCATGGACATTATCAACTGTAATTTTTTAACTGACATTATTATTTTAACTCCAATACTTTATTGCTGATCTGGTATTTATTTTTATGTATGCATTAGTTATAAAATAAAAATAAAAATTTAAGATATTTATAGTTAAAAGTGTATTTTTTTTTTTTTGCTGTTCTATATTTTATTGGGTCATTTTGTCTTTAATTATCAGAAAGACAAGTCTTCTAATAACCATACAGCAAGGTACAAAATAGACAACAGGGTGACATTCAACGCAACTACATTTAATTTTGATGTTTCATTTCAATCATTTCTTCTAACACTACATACCATTCATAGTGTAATATTTCAGTACAAATAAAACAATTCATTCTCGTTTAGCTGACACATAAGTAAAACAGACATCACGCCGATCTTGTAGTTGGCTCGAAGTTGCGTTGATATTTTTAACGTGCTAACCAGGGGTGACCTCGGAAGAGTGGGCATGAACATATTTCAAAATAAATATCAATTTTATTTTTTTACTGACGATTTGTGTTTTCTAAGATTTTTTTTTTGAACAAAATTTAACAGTATAAAACAAATCAAGTCGATCCTAAAACTGTTTTACACGGTACTTGTTAAACGCTCAAATTATAGAAACTTAAGCTACATTATAAATAGATACTAATATTGAACGTCGAAAAACAATGATAATATACAGTAGAACACCTCCTTTTGGACACCCCTGTTCAAGGGACACCCCTATTAAGGGGACACTCTTCCGTAAAACGAGGGGCGATAAATCTTTTAACACTGTGGCCAACCGGTATTAAGGGGACACCACTATTAAGGGGACGGGAATACTTTCTCAGTGTGCCAAACGGTCAAATAACCCTTATTAAGGGTACACTTATTTTTTTCCTATTGTATCACAACAAATACAACAGTCTCAAAATAGGAAAAATTCACTCAACTTTCTATATTGACACATTTTGACGTGTTTTGGAAAGTTCAATGGAACTTTCTAGCTGTTATCACCTTTCTACTGCTGTTTGTCAAGGGTGAGCTTTTGTTAGACTACTGTACGTAATAATAAAAATAATAATAATAATAATAATAATAATAATAATAATAATAATTTAACTGAAATTGAAGTGCAAAAACAATCCGTCTTTGTTTGGTAATAGTTTGGTGTGTAAGGTATTTCTTGGTTTGTTGTTTTGCTTGAATCAGTTAAAAGTGGTGTTCTGTCCTCTCCTCTTATTGATTTGATTGGATTTTGAGAATTT